ATATAAATATACTAGAAGTAATATAGATTCTAACTATAAATATCAACTAAACCAATTTAATTTGTGTTTTACATAACTAACACAGTAGAAATTATATGCGAAAGTCTTAGATTTTCGTGCGATTTAGAAATTTTTCTGAACAATCTTAAGGAAGTGAAGGCAAATATTTGAGGTGGGTCGTCTATAGTCGTCTCTAGTCTCCGCAGAGTATCCTGTTTGTATGCTCATAAGATATATACTATATATACATACGCATGATGTTGTTCTTTCTGGGACTGCGTGAAGTACAGATATTGTTTAAACAATAATAGAAAGCCGTGCTGAGGACTAGGAAAGCTAAGACAGTCGAATGGGCCACTGCGAACCCTCAAACAGCCGCAATGTGTTCCACAAGTTCAGTAAATATTAAGTTTACCACTTCCATTCCTAAGGATACATCGCACCTGTCTATGAAATTGTAAAATAAATGAGATTTTTTATCGCTTTTCGCATGACTAAGCAGCGAAAGATTCGAAAAGTTGCAGTTATACTTTTCTTTCAATAAACAGTTACAGCAGCTTGAGGTATGCAATAATTGTTGCCATGCGTACCGTAATCAGGCAAATTATGGCATGTTCCATTATGCAATCTAACGGCATTAAAACACAGCGACGCAAATTGCGTGTGAGTGTGTGTTTGGCGAGTAAGCATTTGCTCCTGGCACCAAGCGATAAATACAGTAATGATTTGCGCTTTTTTGCTCGCTCATACTTAATGCCCGGCAAAGCTAATGGCTTTCTTCCTTAACGGCTTTAGCAGCGTTAGCTTTGGCTTCCTCTCGCACGGTTTTATCGCCATTCGATAAAAGCGCGTAAATTTGGCGTGCTGGCGTCTGTGGTGCGTGGGAAAAATGATGCGCCTACTTTGACTATGGGAGCGTGGGCTTGAGTTATTTGCCTTGCACTTGACTACAGCAATAAGGCGGTTCTAACTCAGTTTTTTCTCTTATCCTTTCAAAAATCACTTCTTGCACTCATAAGCACCCCATATTTCCTATGTTATTATATAAGTCGTCAGTCAACTTACGAATAGCCTTCATAGTCATAAGCCACCAGCATTCAAACAGCGCCAATCTGTCAACAACATCAGACTTGACTAGCCACTCGTTAATCCTTTATTCACCAGCTTATGGTGAAAACCTGTCGCTAAATAAAGTTAAATGCATGCAAATGAAGCGTGCAAAACAAATTGCATGCCATTCGCTAATTACCAATAATTTTTAGCAAAGTTAGCAAGCGAATAGGCTAACCGTTTCCACCATTTAGGCTCTTGCTGCGCTTGTAGCGCCCACTTGACTGCTGTAATGCGGCCATTGTGCCGAAGTCACAATTTCAGACAGTCACATGAGTTATCTAACGAACAACACAAAAGGCCGATGATTTGAATGAGAAATGTCTGCAATTTCTGCGCTGAACAATAGCTGGTATAATAGAAGTGTATATGTGTGGTTGTAGTCGACTAATGAGCGTTAACATACCCTGCAGGAACTAGCCCAATTTCGTCAAATTCTTAACAGTTGCTGGCAGTCTGAAAATGTTGTACACTTAAGACGAAAAAAGCTTTCGTGTGCACTTCTCTGAGAGATGAGAGAAAAAATTATGAAGTTAATCGAATTCACTCTCAGGCAGAAGTCAAAGAACTTTATATGCGTTTGTAAATCATAGTAAGCAAAAACGCTTACATAAAACAAAGCAGTCAAGTGAACCCTGAACAGCCGAAATGTGTTCCACAAGTTCAGTAAATACTACCTGTATCACTCCCATCCGTAACGATACATCGTAGCTGTTTTTAAAACCTTTTTCACTTTACTTTTTGTATAGAAATTTTTTCTTTGAGATGAATAGGAATAGTTAAGTTAACCAAGATTGGTTCTTTCAGTATAGCTTCATGTTTTTTTAATGGGAACTGACAGATTATAGCTAGTCAGACATTGAGAAATCGGCGCTTAGGGCTTGTACGGACTTTGGTCGCGACCACCGGGATTGCATCTTATGAAAAACATTCTTTAGATTCCATTATGAAAACTGATGCTTAGTACAGTTTAGTACAGTTAGTCTTATAAAGTACCGTTATTGTGCTTCTCATTTGCTCTCTCTTCCTTTCACTTAAAAAGTATGTGGCAATTTTAAACCTTTGTTTGGACGAAAGTGAGCCTGAAGTGTTTCTCCATTGAAGTCTTTGCTTATCGCTGAAGTATTCTGAAATACCTGCACTAACTTTGACAGCTCTTCCAGTAGGAAATTCAATTTCTCTAAAAAATATTTGACAAGTAGGTCAAGGGTAAATAATTATTTCAAAAAGAAATTCATAGCAGATTTAAACGAAAAGATCGGAAACATGCGATAAAGTATTAGGGGAAAAATAATCTACGGACGATTTTAGGTCGGGTGGCCGAAACTACGAGCCCTAATCCGAGGTAATGAAAATATCCAAATTTTCTATATACATGCGTACTTTTTTCAGATAACCTCATTTTATCTTGAAAATATTTCTGATACTCTCTCTAATAATAAATATTTTTGAAACCTATTAATGTATAAGTGAGTGTAGCTTGAAATCGTGCGAAATAACGCAAGCGCAAATCACTATGATAATAAAATATTAGCAAATTCATCAAAAGATTTTTAAAAATAAATAACATAAAATCAATAACAATTTCAAAATGCATAAAAAGCAAATCCTGCAGACAGAGGCGCTTCAATGCTGCCACTCACAATCGATTTTCACTCCTTTCGCAACAATACTTCGTGGCTTGATATTCCGATTTGCTATTCGCTATTCTTATTTGCTGCCAATTACCTTTGTATCACATTGTGTCGCTGCTTCAATAGCCATTCAGGCTTCGCCCACTGGTCTATTAACCACCACACTGCAGGAAGTTGCACTTCCGTTACCCGGTGCATAAATATGCAAGAAGCGGAAATAGGTAGCCTAGTGCTTTCCTTTGGCCAGAAATGAGCTGCTATTGTTGTAGACAGTCAATATTGGCTCGCCAAAGGTGTTACACTGCCGTGAGGATTGACAGCCAACAATGAGAACAGATGTCCCTGACCTCCTAGCGGCACTTATTCATTCAGTTGTAT